AAACTGTACTGCTGATATTAATTTGATACTGAAATACAATGGTTTTGCTTTTCAATTACTTTTATTTTATTAGACAGGCATTTGTGTAGCTCTTATGCTCTATGCAAAGAGCCCTGGTGGTGTAGTGGGTTCCACACTGGGCCGCAGCTCAAATTTACCAGTTGCTCATTGGGAAGAGGCTGTTGCTCTCTGTTCCCATGATGATTCGCAACCTGGGGAACCCTAAGGAGTCGTTCTATTCTAGCCTCTAGGGCCGCTAAAAGCCAGAACCGACTTGATGGCAGTGGATGGGTACTTCCTGGGTGGCACGCATGGTAAATGTGGCTGGCTGCTAACCAAATGGTGCGTTTATCCAGGGGGACTGGAAAAACAAATTCATGGACACTCATATGTGTATAAGAAAGAGCTTTATATCCAAGAGCAGTTGAATATTGAGAAAACATCCCAGCCCAGTCCATAAGTCCGATATTAGCCCGTATGTCCTCCACCAATCTATAAATTCCTCTTCAGACTCATGCAACACATGCAATGATGTCGAATGCAGGAAGATCGCAGGCCAGTGGGTGAAAGGTCTTGTAGATCCAGTGGTGGTAGCAGCATCTCAACGCTGGCATGGGTCTCCATGCGGCTCCTCCAGCTCCAGGGCTCTCGTGCAGCTCCATGTGTCTTGTCATCAGGAAGACCAAGCAGTGAGTAAGCATGTTCTGCCTCCAGTGAGCTATACATCTCCATGGCACCTCCACATGAGGTCATCAAGCTGCGACCTGATTGACAGGCCAGACTCCACCCCATCCTCAAGTTGACAGATTATATCAAACCAAGAGGAGCTTTGGAAGGCAGGTACGGCTTTCGGCTTCAGAAAGCTCACAGCCAGGAAAACCCTCTGGAGCAGTCTTGGTCTGTACACACGGGCTCACTGTGAGTTGGAATCAACTGACCGGCCACCGGTGATTAGTAGTGCATTTTCTACATCAGGTACACGCGGTGATTCATAAATATGAAGCCATTTAAGACCCTCCACAACCCAAGAGGCCGTTGTTAGTGGTGGGCAAGCCAATGAGGGCTCTAGGCAACCCCAGGTGTCCAGAACAGAGAGCTCCAAAGGGTTTTCGAAGGCAGCTGAGTTTTTGGAAGCAGCTCACTGGCCTGCCTCCCAAGGTGTCTGCGATGGGCCTGACCCCCCTGCTTTCAGAAACTAGTAAGGCGCTGCCCAAGGACATAGTCCTAGAGGCATGTGCCCTATTTCTTCCATTTTGCAGATGAGAAAACTGAGGATTTTCACTAACTTGGCGGAGCCCTGGTGTTGTAGTGGGTTCTTCATCTGGTTGCTCACCACAAGGTTAGAGGTTCTAAACCACCGGCTGTACTTCAGGAGAAAGACAGGGATTTCTACTTCCGCCAAGACCTACAGTCTCAGAAACCCACAGGGGTACTTTTTCTGTCCTTTCGGGTTGCAACAAGTCGGAATGGCTTCAGTGGTAGTGAGTTTGGGTTTACCTGGTTTTCCCCAGGTCACTCAGCTATTCAATGCTGGGATTAGAACCCGAAGGGTCTGGCCCAAGAGTTGAGACTTCACCACTGTCATTTGAACACCTGCTGTGCGCCAGACACTTTTTTTTTTTTCTTTCCATTCACTGCAGCACTTTATTTCTCCTTACACAACGCCATGTTGCTGGGGCCTATTGTTCGCACATAACAGTAGAAAACCAAAATTTGTTGTGTCATCTCAGAGTTGAGAATTGCGTACAAAAAAAAACCTTAACATAAATTAAAAGAATGAGCAAATTTACAGGTTTAAATGCAAACCGTCTTCCAACTCAAGGCAAGTAACAGCCCCCGGGGCTCCAGTGGCCAGCATCAGCTAAAGAAAGGACGCTTGGTCCCAAGGCTCAGATTCTTCCGCCCCGCAGGCCGCACACAGCAAGGACTGGCTGCTTCCGGTCCCCTGCGCGCCAGACACTTTACAGATAAACAAAAGCCACAGCCCGGGCTGGCCTGCTTCACAGCCAGAGCTGTTGCCAGGCCCCATTTACCCGTCAAGTGGATGGGCTGTGGACGGATGAGCTGCAGGCAGTTTCCTGACCTGTTCTCCTTGCATTTAAGCCCAGGTAGGGCCTAACGTGTGCAGGGAGAGTTGGGTCAGAAGGGGCATTTTCCTTCTCTCCAGTGTTGTTTTTCGATGCACCGAGTCAGTTCCGACTCATCAGGACCATTCGCACAATAGGAAGAGGCACTGCCTGGGCCGGCACCATCCTCCCCCTGGGTCCTAAGCTTGGGCTCATTGTTGCAGCCGCTGTGTTGATCCATCTCTCTGAGGGCCCGCCTCTTGTTTGCTGCCTCTCCGCTTTACCAAGCATGATGTCCTTCTCCAGAGACTGGTCTCTCCTGACAACATGCCCAACGCATGTGAGACGGAGTCTCGCCATCTTTGCTTCTAAGGAGAACTCTGTGCTTCTTCCAAGACAGAATTGTGAGCTGTTCTCAAGACACCCAGAGCCTTCTTTTCCCTGCCTCCACCCTTCGTTGCCACTGCTGGTCTCCCAGTGCATGGCAGCCTCTTGCCTCCTCATGGTTGGTTGTGGATCAAGCTCTTGGGAGCCATCGGGCTTGCTTTTTTCCTTGACAATAAAACAAAGCTGTATTGTTTTCTTGGTGTTGGCAATGCATAGCCCTACGCACCTGAATCCAACCATGTCTACACGGACAACTCAACGACACGAATGACATTCTTCAAGTTGTGCAATCATTTTCGCCCTCCCTTTCTGAGCGGTCCTGCCTTTATCAACACAGAGTCCCTGTCTGGTCCTGCCCGTTGCTGTTGCTAATGTGCTCCCATGGGGAACGGAAACCAAACCTATCACCATAGACTCAACTCTGACTCGCAGTGACCCGGTGGAACCATTTCACGCGCTTCCCCAGATTGCCAATCTTCAAGCCAGACAGTCTCATCTTCCTTGCGAAGAGCAACTGTGTGCTTGAACCACTGACCTTGCAATTAGCAGCCCAACGCTTAACCTCCCGCACCCCAGGGCTTCTTTGATTTCATATAGGCGGTTCTTAAAAGAGCATAACGTGCAAGACAGCTCTTCTTCTTTCTTTCTTTTTTCTTTCAGATATTCTTTTCTAGGTAAGCTAAACTATTGTTCAGCTTTAAGAAAACTTCAAAGAATGTTTTCGGTTTAAGGTTAAAAGTTTTATTTCAGGGCAATCGTTTCAGAGATGCATGAAACTTTCATGGGCTGCTTTTCAGAAGTAGAGTGACAGCCCTTCCTGGGCTGACTTAGACTGGAAGCTTTGCTGAAACCTCTCCAGCATCATAGCAACATTCAAATGGAGACTCTTCTAAAGCAAGCTCACTGCCGTCAAGTCGATGTGAACTCATAGCGCATTTATTGGACAGGGTAGAAGTATCCCTTTGAGTGTCTGAGACTACAAGTTTCCAAGACTAAGTGTCTACAAGCAAAAAGCCCCTACAGAGCGACTGGTAGTTCCCAACTGTGGACCTTTCGGATCACAGCCCAAAGCATAACCACTACGCCACCAGGGTTCCTGGATGCTCAGAAACAGCAGAACTGTTAGCTCTGAGTTTCTCTCTTTGGGATTCGGTGTAGTAGAAAAGGGTAGGTGGGTTGGCACGGATGCTTTCCGTGGAATTTTTCAATCTCCGTGGTTATTCATTGGGCTGCTAACTGCAAGGTCTTCTGTTCAAAACCACAGCTGCCTCAAAGGAGCAAGATGGAACTTTCTTCGCCCATTAAAAATTATAGTCTCAGAAACTCACAAGGGCAGGTGTCCCCTGTCCTATAGGGTCTCCATGAATTGGCATCAACTGGACAGCAGAGAATTTGTTTGGTTTTTGGTTCATTTATTAGAAACCGGGAATCTCTATATGGCTTATGTTAACATAATCCAACATGACCTATACCTAACATTAAATTCTAGACTGCCCCTGGGTAGCCACCCCCAGTTGCCTGTGGCAAGGGAGCATCAGACAGCACCTCTGCCTGGAAATCGGTGCCTGGCTTTGAGTGAGGTGTCCCCTCTACACCTGCTCACGGGATCTTCACTTAACAACAGTGCCAATGGCCTTGTGCATTTCAGATGGGGAGCTGAGCGAGGCCATATTCCCACTGCCAGGACCTGATCCCAGGCTTTGCCTCCTGGGTCCACCTTAAGCTCCTGGCAAAACTCGATGGGGTCATAGGTCACCTAGTGGTGGCAGTTGTGTGTTTTCATTCCACAGATTCTCCTTGTGTGACATGCAATGCGAGGGAGAAAGCACAGCGTCCCAGCATGAATCTCAATCTCAATGCGCTGGAACTTGGACACCTGCATTTCAGGGCAGGGAGAAGCCACCAGAGGACTGCACACTGGGCAATCAGACCTCCCCCAGCCCCCACCCCAATGTTCTTGATGTACTGCCTTTGCTTTTTCCCCAGGGGTTCTGCAGGTCACCTTATTTCAAGTTGCACCCCATCCCACATGGGCACATCTGGATCTCAGATGGAGTCATGAGACTTGATGTGCTAAGCTCAAAGATGCAAGTCCTCTGAGTAGTGATGTTAGCTGCCGTCCAGTTGACTGACTCTCACAACACACCATTGCCCAGTCCTGCGTCATCGCCTGAAGGGCCAGCGCGTTCAAGTCCATCATTGGGCTCTTGTGCCATTCCATCTCACCCAGGGTCTCCCTCACTCCTGCTGGGCCTTTGCTTCACCAGACATGAAGCCCCTCCTCAACCCGCTCCAGCAATCGAGCCCTCCTTCTGGCGTCTGCAAAGTTCTGACCATGGGCAATGGTCTACCGTGACCCTTGAGCTTTTCATCGGTGAATTTTCTGAAGTAGAGTGCCAGGGCTTTCTTCCTAGTCTTCCTTAATCTGGAAGCTCTGCTGAGACCTGTCTACACTGGGTGACCGGCTGGTGACCCAGCCTCCAGCCTCCAGTCACACACAAGCCACCACAGTGCCATGTCCTGACAGATAAGCAGTTGCTGTGGATCCAAGCAGAAGTCTAAGGGGGTGGGTAAGACTGCTGGGTGTTCTGGTGAGAGATAATGTTGACCTCATCAGTCCGCTAGTTCTTTCCAGATTTGTCTTCGGAAAACCAAGCGGTACAGAAACATTACAGTCAAAAAAAAGAAAGAAAGAAACATTACAGCCTTGTTATTCTTTCTTCCAGGTCAGCTTGAACTTTCAAATACCAAACATTACCCGATGGTGTTGATCATATCATGATGGCTTTAAACTCAGTAAGTGGCTACTTATTACCTTCCTGAACACATCTTGGTTCCTTTACTCCTTCTCTTTCCTCTGGGAAAGTCTGGGCCAGCATTTTTAGGAGCTGCTTGTAGCAAATAGACTCACTACATCGTCTAGGATCGAGCATAAGGTCACTCTGGGTCAGAGCCGACTCAGTGGTACCTGACAACACAGTACCATTGCCCCAGGGGACGCAAAATCATGAATGGAAGCGGGGTCTAAGGGGGCAGCCACTGGGAGGTGCTCACTCGGGGACCCTGGAAGCCATTCCTGTCGGGGGTGAGGGGGTGGCGTGGTTTCCTCCTGTTCGGAGGCAGGGGCAGTGTGGGGACAGGTTAGGGCAGGATGGCGTTAAGAGGGAGTGCAGCCTGGGCAAGAAAGCATGTGTGGGCTAATTCGAGGGAGGGGGCTTCAAAATATCCATGGGAAAATGGAATGTGTATTTCTGAGCATAAACTCCACCAATTTCAAGGCACTTTTGCCCTAAAGAATTGAGTGTCCTGGGAATTTAACCATGCCCATGCCTTTTTAAAAAAACCAACTAAGTATACTATTAACTGAAGAAAAACAGGTGCCCTTTGAAGTTTTGTTTTGTTTTGTGTTGAGAGTAGGAAGCAAAAAGGAAGTTAGGAGGTGCCAAATCAGGGCTGTCGGGTGGATGCCTAGTGACTTTCCATCGAAACCCTTGCAAAATCGTTTGGAAGAGAAATGGACAGGACCATGGTGGAGAAGGGCTGTCTGGTGAAGCTTACCCCAGACGTTTTTCTGCTAAAGCCTCAGCTGTCTCAAAACACCGACACAATTAGCCGATGTTCTCATTCTTCAGTCCACAAAACCCAACAAAACGAACACACCTGGTGCCACGATCTTTGCTCTTCACCAGTCCTCTTTGGCTTTACCGGGACCACTTCCACCTCTTGGCAGTTATTGCTGTGGCTGGGCTTGCTCTTTAGGATTAGATTGGTAAAGCCAAGTTTCATCTCCTGTTGCAAAATGTTTCAGGATCTTGATCTCATGTGTTTAAAGGTATGCACAGTTTACAATTTCCAAGAAGCACATGCACAGTTTTTTCCCCTGTGCATTTTCATGGAAAATATGCATTTCCCGTAACCTTTTTTTAAAGAACCCTTGCACCAGGTAACAGGTGACATGGGAGAGTAGGAGACCACTACAGGGGCCCCGTCTCAGCTAACTAATTCCCTTTATAGCTGGGAACACGTACATTTAACACAAAGCTCATACTAAAACTATCCCAGGTCCCAGACCTAGAATATACACCTCTTATTTTTTACCCTTTATCTGTTTCTGAAAAGGAGCCTCCATGCCCCTGTCAGGTCAGGACTGCCAACTGCAAAGTCGGTGGTTCCAACCCACCAGCTGCGACTCAGGAGAAAGAGGAGGCTGCCCACTCCTTAAGGATTCACAGCCTGAGGACCCCGGGGTAGCATCCCTAAGAGTCGGAATCTACTCCATGGCAGTGGCTTTGGTTGGGGGTTTGTCTGTTTCTGGTACTTATTTCCACTGGATCTTGTTTTAATTTCAAATCTATGGAATTTCCACACAGGGACTTTGAGGACAAATTAATTAGCTTGCTACAAACTTTTCCCAGGTAAGAGCAAACATGTTCTTAGATGCTTTTGATACAGGCCAACCCCCTGGGCTTCTCTGGGTGCCTCGGGCACATCCATTTAGATTAGAGATTGCATTTCATTTTCCTGGTGTGTCTCCTCCGTGGAGTGGTAATCTTTGGACTTCTGAAGGAGGGCATTAGTGAGTTATTAAGCAGTGGTTAGCTGGGGTGGCTTGCATTTTAAAATTGTAAGCACTGAGCTCAGCTCACAGCACCTGTCAGCTTTGAGTTCAGAGTCTGATATTGGACAGGGAGCAGGAAGTCATGAGTGAGGAGCAGTTTTACTTGGGATTGTCCTTTCGAAAGTGACGGGCAATTGGTAACCTTCCAGAGTGGCTCAGGCAATGGGTAATCTCTGAGCCCTGAAAGAAAGGGAAGGCATTAGGGTGCTGGGGTTCTGAGGGGCTTGTGTTTCAGGCGGGACAAGCTTTGAGGGTGGACCTTGTGTAAACATGTGTTAAGCCAGCAGTGGGAGGCCTTCTACAGAAACAAACATCCCAAGGTTGGAGCTGTGGACGAACAAATTGTGATCACCTTGGAGTGGTATGTAGCTATCAAGAGAAATGACGGTCCTGGGCCATGTTACCACACCAAGGCAACATGGAAGCATTATGCTGAGTGGAAAAAGCCAGACACAAAAGGAGACTAGTGGCACAGTAGCTAAACGCTCACCTGAGATCCAAAAGGCCGGAGGTTCAGACCCACCAGCTTCTCCAAGGGAGGAGGATGTGACGTTGTGTCCATAAAGATGTACGGTCCTGGAAACACCCAAACCCCACCCCAGAGCCATCGTATCCGGTCCTAGGGTACAACTGTGCATTGAAAGGCACAGGTGATGCACCCCAAAAGTGCATATAAATGGTGCTGGAACCCAAATAAAGGCCTAAGTTTAATTCTAACATTGTATGATCCAGTTATGGGACATTTCTAAAACAAAACAAAGCTGACTGCCATTGAGGTGACTTCTGACTCTTGGCAACCCTCCAGGACAGCGTAGAACTGCCCTGTGGGTTTCCAAGACTGTAACTTTTCATGGGAGTAGAAAGCCCCATTCTAGAATAGGTCAGTCCTTAGAGACAGGAAGTAGATTAGCAGTTGCCAGTAACCTCAGAACGGGGAGAAGCTGCTTAAGGAGTACGGGGTTTTCCTTGGACGGATGGGCAGGTGTCGGACATAGATCCAGGTGATGGATGCATACGAGGATGGATGCTCGAACCACTCCTGAAATGTCCGTTTTAAAAAGGGACACTGTATGCTGCATGAGGAAGAGTGAAATGCACGTGCTGAGTGAGGAGAATGACCGCAGCAGAACTGGTGACGGTCCCAGCTTGCAAACCCGAGCTGTGTCCATGAAGAAGGGAGGCGGCGAATGTTCCAGCAGCACACGGGAAGAGAAGAAGGCCTCGAACCGGTGTCTGCAGGATGACACGGAGAGTCAGCTCCTCAGGGCAAATGTCTGAACTTCTACTGTCTCAGAAGTTCCCCTCTTTCCCTCCGTCATCTCAGCGTCCAGCATTTCCTCCCCTGGCCCCATAACAATTGGTTTGGGAGGCAAGTATTATTGGTCAATTGTCACATGGCCGCTGACTTTAATGCAGTCAACTCACTGTCATCGAGTCCGTTCCGAAACATACTTTCTTTGATTAAAAACGGATCCCTGGGAACTGCCTTCAAAGGAAGTAGCTTTTTGCGAGTGATTTCATAAGAATCTTTGTGAGCCATTCACTTGATGATTGAACAAATGCTGCTAGCTTAGCTTTCCCTTTGTATCAAGCGCCCCCCTCCCACTCCCACCCCCATGAAACCTTTCCTTTAGCCCCTGGTACCCAACATTGTGTTTTGTTTTGTCTCGATGGATCTGTCAGTTCTAAATACTCCGTATCCCCAAGTGGACTCACGCAATATAAGTGGTTTTGCGGCTTCTTCTGACGCTCGCCGTAATGTGTTCTCGTCGGCGCTCTGCTTCCACCAGCTGTTGCCAAAGGTCCCTTTCTAGGGCCGCATGTGTCACCAGTTCATTCGTTTCTCTCTGGCGTGGACTCATCCTCCATTGTGTTGGTACCCCAAGGAACCCCGTGGGGCGATGATTCCGTCTGCAGCTGCTCACCTACATGTAGGCTTGACGCCATCGCGTGCCTCCGAGGGAGACAGACCCGAGGCTTGGGTCCTGGCCGCTCTTTCACCCAGCGCTGCTCGATGGCACCTGGCAGGCACAACAGACTGGATGTCCACGCGGGGTCTGTCCTGTCCTCTGTTGAGGGACACTGGACCTGTGCCCACACTGGGGTGCTGCAGTGAACATGGGTGCGTGTGTCTATGCTGTGTCCCTGCTCTCAATGCATTTCTTAGACGTTAAAACAGAGTGTCCTGATGATAAAGACTCACTGCCATCGACTCGATGCCGACTCACAGGGACCCCGTAGGACAGGGTAGAACTGCCCCTGTGAGTTCCTGAGACTGTCCCTCTTTACCGGAGTAAAAAGCCCCATCTTTCTCCCACAGAGCAGCTGACGGTTTTTGATGGCTGACCTTTCAGACCACAGCCCCCAAAAAGTGCAATTAATGGATGTGTTAGTCCGGGTTGACTAGAGAAATAAATTGATAGACACTCATATGTATACCACAAAGAGCTTTATATCAAGAGCAATTGTACATTACTAAAACATCCCAGCCCAGTCCAGATCAAGTGCATAAGTCCGATATTAGCCCATATGTCCGATACCAGTCTATAAAGTCCTCTTCAGACTCATGCAACACATACAGTGACACCAGATGCAGGAAGATCACAGGCCAGTGGGTGGGAAGTCTTGTGGATCCAGTGGTGTTGTAAGCATCTCAGTGCTGGCAGGTGTCTCTCCGTGGCTTCACTCGCTCAGGGCACTAGCATAGTTCCATTTGTCTTGTCAGCTTCAATGTCTCCCAGGGAGTGAACAGAGAGAGAGTGTGTCTGCTGCCTACAAGGAGGAATACAGGAGTTCCCAGAATCCTCAGGAGAAGGCCATGCCCACACAGAGGCCTCATAGGCTATGAGCTGATTGACAGGCTAGACCCCACCTCTTCACTCTTAATCCTCTCAAATTGACAAATGATTATATACTACCACAATGGAGAATGCTGGCTAGTTTTCATTCTGCTGAATTTTTGTGTTTCCCCCAAATTAGAGATGCTTTAAAAGGAAGTAGGAGGACTTTCTTGCTTTCTTATTGGAATGCAATGTGATTAATATGTATTAAATCCTGAGGAAAATAAGTGATTTTTTTTTTCTGGGCCTCACCTTCCCCTCTCTTTTTCAGGGGTCACCACCAGGTGCTGGACCTTACTATGAAAACCATGGATTCCAGGCAGAAAACTTGTACCCGCCACTGCCCGCCGGCGTGCCTGGTGCCTATCCAGCCTACCCAGCCCAGTACTACCCGCCCCCCGTGCCCCAGTACATCCCGAAGGTTCTGACGCACGCTTCGAGCCCTGTCATCCACACGCAGCCCAAGGCCCCCTCCGGGACTGGGTGCACCTCAAGTAGGACCAGTTTTTGTGTTTATTTCCTTCCACAGAGGCGGAGTTTCCGCTACCACTTCTTCCAGTGGGCTCTCTGCCCTCACCAGCTCTATTGGGAACTCTCCTACGTCTATACCGCTCCTCCTGTCCTCTGGCATTTCTGCTACCAGTCCACGTGCCAGCCGCTGCCTGTGCCTGCACCAACCAGCTTGGTCTTTACCGATGGGCTTCTCTGTGTTCTTTCTTGACTGCCTGGCTTGTGGGTGCATCTGCTCGCTCCTTAAATCAATGGTAAGCTCCCAAGGGCAGTAGCAAACTGTCTTACTTTCTCTGATCTCTAGCCCTGTTCAAGATCATACTAAGTGGAGTCCCTGGTAGATCTCTTCTCAAGACGTCACCTAGTCTTATCTCAGGGGCAACCTGTAAGCCAGCGGCTGGTGAGTTCAGTCCAACTCCTGGCACCACAGCCACAGTCAGAGTGGACCTGTGCCCCGGGGGGCTTGTCCACGGCTGGTTTCTGAGAAGCAGTTCTCCAGGCCGTTCTCTCGAGGTAGGCTGAAGTGCTGTCTTCATTATCCCTGCAGGTGGGTGGCCTGAACACACAGAAACTGACGTTCTCTACGTTACGAGGCAGGAAGTCCAAATTCAGGACACCAGCTCCGGGGGAAGGCTTTCTCTCTCTCTCCGTTCTGGAGGGAAGGTCCTTGTCCCCCTTTAGCTTCTGTTCCTCAGGTCAGGTGCCCAATAACTTGGGTTGAATCTTCCCCCACTCTGAGCTTGCCTGCTTCAGTGCTGAATCCTCATTTGTTCTTTTGCATATCAAAAATGATTGGTTTAAGACATACCCCATAGGGCTGGCCTCGTTAACAGAATACTGAAAGCACTGCTCTCAACATGGGCTAACTTCCGCAGGTGGAGTGTGCTAGAATTACAGCATCTACTTTTGGAGACCAAACCAAAAACCAAACTCACTGCCATTGAATCAATTCTGCCTCAGAGTGAGTGACCCTATAGGGCAGGGTAGAACTGCCCCTCGTGGGTTCCTGAGACCAAGCCTTTCCAAAAGTAAAAGGCCTCTTCTTCCTCCTTAGGAGAAGCTGGTGGTTTTGAACTGCTGATCTTAAGGTTAGCAGCTCAACTTGTAACCCATGACACCACCAGGGCGTAGTTTGGGAAACCACTATGTCAGTTCATAACAATCACCTGTGTGTCCGTGAACAGCTGACGTTGAGCATGCTAACCATTGTTACCACCCAGGGACTCCACCCAGGGCTGGCCAGCCTGATCCCTGCTGCTGCCCCATGTCTTCTGTCCTCCCAGCAAGCTCCCTGACCTTTCACCCTTCCGTCTTCTTCTTCTCATTCATCCTCCACTCTCTCGTCCCTTTCATGATTGTCCCCAATCATCCCTTCTCCTGTCACTCGGGTGGCATACCCTCTTCCTCGCTATCATTTTCTCTCTGCCCCAGGAAACACGAATCTTCGTGCTGATGGCTTTCTGGTGGGGCGGTTCGATAGGTGGGGATGTTGACCCAAGGGAATGCTAGCCAAGATCTAGAGACAGTGTGGTTGCTATGAATGGGGGTGGAGTGACGAGCCAGTTGGGCATTGCTTGGGTAGAAGCCAGAGAAACTGTTAACATCCGAGGTCCCAGGACAGGTCCTCACAACGGGAACTTCCCAAACACCTGTGGTGTGAGGTGGAGGACCATCAGTCAGAAGGAAGGCGGCAGAACCAAGGCAGCCTGTGTCATGTTCGCTGCCTCCCAAACAGAGGGCCGGGATCAAACACGGAGGCCTGAAGTTAGCGCCTGCAGGAGGTCATGCCCAACTCATGTGGTCACACTCATATGGGGACAAGGACCCCTGGGCCCCCTCCCTGCCGTGTTTCCATCTTGGTGAGGAGATATATTTGGCCAGGAATGTAGATAGAAACCCTCTGTTGGTTACTTAAATTTCAAAATTATTTTAATTGTGGTTTGGATGAAAGTTCATAAAACATATGAGTTTCCCATTGGACGGTTGATCCACATGTTGGTTTGTAATGTGTGTCCCTCCATCAATGGAATGGCCTTCTTCCTGCTTCGTCCCCGGCTTCCCTTCAACTGTCCACTCTTCCTTCCCCTGGCTGCCTTCTGAGCCTTGTTTGGGGGCAAGCTCTGCCCTCTTGGCCTCTTGTGGTCGATTGTTCTATACAGTGTGTTTCTCAAGAGTGTTATTGTCCCCCTTGTAGACCTGCCCATTGTTTGGCTGACAGGTGGTTCCACGGGGTGGATTCCATTCGGGATTGAAGGGTGTCTAAGAGCCACAGTCATGGGGGTTCAGTTCCTGTTTGATATGGGCAGAAGAGGCACCTGTGTGTACTCTCTTTGCATTACAAAATCATGCCCAATAAGCTACAAAGCAATTTACTGAGTTTCCTTTGAAACCAGCTTTAAAACATCATATTGTTGAATAGCAGAGAGTTGCCAGCTCCTGACATATTGGTGAGCCCATTCAGTCACAGCAGAACGAAGTACTGCCTGGTCTTACACCATCTTCTTAATCCCCAGTATTCTTCAGTCCGCTACGGGAGCCCGTGTGCATTTGGAGTGCCTCCCAGCTTGAGGGATTAACAATGTTCTATTGAGAGGTCCATCTGGGTCCCAGTGCAGATCACCAGGCCTTTCTTCCTACCCTCTCTCTCCATCTGGGAAGTTTTGCTGATACCCGACCACACTGGGGGACCCTCCTGGTTTTTGAAATATAATAGCATATGAGTCATCACAGTAAGACAAACTGACTCATGAGTGGTAGATAAAACATAGCCAAGTATATACATACATTTCATGTCACATTTAGCCTTGAAATCATTTTATAAGGTACTTAAATAGCAAAACTGCATTCGCTACATCAGGGGTGCAAGGAAGTATTTTAGTACCTAATGATCCTACTTGCTTTACACATATTCGTATAGGCATTCCATATTGGAACAGCAATTCAGACACAGCCTACAGTGTGGTTGCTTAGTTGCTGGACGGCAGTGCTAAGATGGCATGGGGTGGCATATCTCACTTCATGGGGCTTCCCTATTGCAATGAGGCAGGGGTCAGACATGCCTCCACCTGCCCTCCTTCTTTACCTGTTCTGACAACTCTTCCTTCCCCTGGCACTGTATGTCTACGCCAGGTTCAATGATTCCTTGCAATGAGCACACAGAACTCACCAACAATGCTCACAGTTATGGGGGTTCTTTAGGGAAGGTACCAGGTTAACATAAGTCAGGATCAGTAAACTAGGAGGATACCGTCATTGGTCTACAGCAGCATCTCTCCTTAGACACCGGTCGAGTCTCTCTCTGTCTCTCTCTGTCTCTCTCTCTCTCTCTCTCTCTCTCCTCAGCTTCTCAGCCAAGTGGTCCCTTGGCCTCTGCTTTCATGGGCCAGGGAGCCAGCCTGTTCCTCCGCATCAGTCTCAAAGTCTGAGCACTGCTCATCTGTCCTGTCTTGCGGTCTCCCTGCCTCAGCCTCCAGTCTCAGCCTGGCTCCATTGCTCTGGGCCTGTGCTGTGGCCTCTAGTGTCTCTGGTCCCAGCCTCCACAACTGCAGACATGATCTCGAATGTACCTCCCTGGTGGTTCTTCTGATGGTCCTGAGTCTTCGCCATGTTCCGGGGTTGGCTCTTACACACCGAGGAATGGCTTTGAGGTGTGGTTTTTGTCTTTCTGCAGAGCACACACCCAGGGAAACAAAGGGTGGTGACCTGGTTCATGCCTTCTACTAAAGTGGAGACTTAAATCTCAAGCCCTTTCAAATGGGGACGATAGCCACAGACATGCTGTTGTTAGAGGGAATCAAGTCAGGTGACCCCACGCACAACAGAAGGAAACACGGCCTCTCCTGTGCTGTTCTCCCAGTTGATAGGTTTGAGCCGGATGTTGCAGCTACTGTGGGAACCCATCTCGCGGAGGGCCTTCCCCTCTTCCACTGCCCCTGTACTTTACCAAGCATGCTGTCCTTCTGCAGGGACTGGTCTCTCCTGACAAGATGTCCAGAGCATGTAAGACAAAGTCTGGCCTCTAAGGTGCACTCTGCTGCAGGCATAGAGGCCAGAATGTATAATAGACCACCTACGAGAGTTTGACTAGACTACATGTTAATTGACTACACCTCAGTCCACAGTGCTCTGGTGTAGATAGTTGACACTCAACGCTGTTGGGAGACCGTGACAGCACACTAACAATGAGGAAGGTTGATGTCCAGTACATGACCACTTAATTCAGCAAGAGCTGTGGATGGAGGAGCCGGGCCAACTTGAATCTAGGCTGGCCATGTCCTGGTGATAAAACGCCCATTCCTGTTCACCAGAGAGAAAACTGAGGATTGCTTCCCCTGGTGGCTGTGCTGGCTCAGGGGTGGAATGCTTGCCTTGCATGCAGGAGACCCAGATTTGATTTCTGGCCAGTGCACCCCATGTCCAGCCACCATCCACCATCGGAAGCTTGGGTGTGACTGCTAAAGAGGTGTCAGTGGAGCTTCTAGACTAAGATGGACAAGGAAGAAGGGCCTGGCCATCTCATTCTTGAAATCAGTCCATGTACCCTCTGTGGCTCACAATGGTCCCGGTTGCACTGATCATGCAGATGGTGTAGGACGCGACAGCACCCTGTTCCATTGTGCATGGGGTCACCGTGTGTTGGCGACTGGCTTGACAGCAGCTAACAGCCACGGTTTTATTGCTTAGTCCACCTCACAAGTTATCATTTTATCTTAAAGAAGATGAAATGCAGGGAAGTCACCCGAAGGCAAAAACGTTGCTGTGGTTAATGGACCAAGGAGGTCCTTTGGGATTTTCTGGGTTCTCCTGAGACCTCCACCCTGTCCCCCTCAAGGCATAACCATTGCTGAGTGCGTGCAGATAAAAATCAATGCCTGGGCATGGCTCGAGGTCTTTGCTGCTGTGATGGGTCATCAAGTTCGTTCCAACTGAACCGCAGAAGGGGGCACCACCAGGTCCCGGGCCGCCCTCAGAGTAGTGATGTCTGAGCCCAGGGTTGCAGCCACTGTGTCCATCCATCGTGTGAAGGGTCTTCCTCCTTTTACTGCCTTCCTATTTTACCGATGATGTCCTTCTCCAGGAACTGGTATTTCCTGACCATCTGTCCAAAGTACGTGAGATCATTCGCATGGTGGTTCCACAGCATTGTCTTCACGCCACTGGCGTTGGCCTCATCTGTGAGCTTGCTCGAACCACAAATACATCTTCCCTTTCCATCTCACTGGTTCAGAAGCCCTCGTGATGGGGATACAAGTTTCCTAGTGATTTTTCATCCTGTGAAAATTCAAGAACCGCTGGAGAGTTAAAGGAAAGTGATGAAAAGATTAGAGACGAGGCTCTGAGCGCTACACAGGTGCTTCTGCTTGCTCCATCAATCCAGAAGTTGGACCTCACTTGGCTGTCTTTCCTGGGCCTTTGAGTTGGCCAACTGCAGTGTCACTGGGTCATAGGACTGATGGAGGCACTTTCTGGGGCTGCCTTCCAACCCTTGGTGCAATTGTCTTACATTCTCCAACCAACCAAACGTGCCTCTAAATGTGTGATGATGAGAGGACGACAAGAGCAACCTTCTTCCAACTACTCTGAGCTCAACGAGTCTGCCTTCATACCCCAGGGTGATCGCTGGTGGTGTCCAGTAGAATTTTCCGTGGTGTTGGAAATGTTCTCCATCTATTCTCTATCTGTACCATCTCGGGCAGTATCCCCTGGTCACATGTGGCACTTGAATCTCCATAACTTTATCTAATTTCGCTGGACTTCAAATGGTTTACATATCAATGGCCACATGTAGCTAGTGGCTGTCTGTAGAAGTCACTATAGGTGGGCACTATCCATTTACTTACACAGTCTTGAGTAAAACAGTTTTATTTGTTTTTTTGCGGGGGCGGGGGTGCAATTTACTCTTCTTCTCTGCCTTGATTACCTCTGAAGTGGTGATGGCAGTTGTCTGCTTGTTCTTATTGTGAATTGGGCCAAGGTGTACAGAGCAGTTCAGTTTTCTATTCAACAATTTCTATTCAACAATTCGTACACATTTGGCTTCCTCTCCTTCGCCGCCATCCCCTCCGGGTCACATCACGGAGGTCAGTGGCAATGGAGGAGAACATATCTGGCCTCCTCTGGCTTCCCTGTTCCCAGGGCTCAGACAAGCCTCCTGGGTCCAGCCTTCTTTACCTCTCCCGACACCAACCGTTCCTCCGATGCCACTGGACACCTCTGCTGGACTCGGTAATCCTTAATCTTAGTTCTTGGTCTCAGCATGTGGTCCCTTGGACTTTGCCTCCACGGGTCAGAAGGCTAGCCCACCTGCCACTCTGTCCCCAGTGCCACAGTCTTGGGCCAGATGTTAGGAAGGTGCCTCATAGTCTTGGCATTGCTCTTCTGGGTCTCTGGGCCAGTTTCTGGTGCACCTCATCTAGGAGGCCTCCATCACGTCAGACAGATCTTGAACATGCCCTTCCAAGGTCCTCAGGGTTTCTCCCCTCTCCTACTGTGTCCAAGATGGCCCATTGTCAGAGCCAGAGGGGTCACGACTACAATGGACCAATCTTCTTGACTAGTGTTACACATGTTACATACGCCCTGGATGCAGAGTCCCACCCAATCATACAGAGACTTGGGTAGAAGAGGCGTATTGAGAAATTTCACTCTGCCAATCATTAATCCCACTCCCCCCCATCCCACAGTGTTTTCTGTCTCCATCCCTCAGTTCCTAACCCTTCTGAACTTTAGGTACATGCTGCCCTTTTGATCTTGAATGGTCTGTTGTTCAAAGGTGTGCAGACCTCACCAGTGTAATCGTTCCACCTTATAGACCTGTCTATTGCTTGACTGAAAATTCATGCCCAGGCCTGAAGGGTGATGAAGGGCTGTGGTTTGGGGATTCCACCAGTCTCTCTCCAACCAACAAGCTTGCTTCTCTTTTATGATTTTGGGATTGGGTCTGTTTCTCTCCCACTGTGTCCCCTAATGTGACCCCTGTCAGAGCAGTTGGAGGTGGTAGTCAGGCGCCATCTTGTTCTTCGGGTTCCTGGGCTGCAGAGATTGGTGTTGACTTGGCCATTGGCCATTGGACTAATTGTCTACATGTCTTTGGTTCTCATCCCTCTTCTGTCCTCCAAAGGGGGACACAATAGCTGCGCCTTCAATGGCTGCTCACTAGCTGTCCCCTTCCCCCACCTTCCTTTCTTCTCTAACTCTCACCCTTGCTTCCAAGAGAAGCTCCCAGGAACCCCTGAGCCAGGAGTTGTACTGTGGAGCCGTGCCTTGGGGTGCCTTGGCTGGGAGTTTGGGGGTTGTTGTCCTTCCTTGGCCTTTGAGTTGGCTGACTGCTACTCATCCAAATGGGGAGCTGGACTATTGTCTTTGTGGACTTCGGCCAATTGACCTGGGTGACCTGAGTCTATGATTCTGAGCCCCAAGGACTCCCTTCAGGTATTTGATTATATCTAAGAAGTTTCCACAACTTTGCCCTCTGTGTGTTCTACCACAGCCATGGATATATTTGCAGTGAAGATAAAGACCCATAGACAAATATCCTCTGTTTATCTATCTAGCTATCTACCTGGGTATATTCCCACTATCCTTTGCACACCCATTCAGCCTCCACGTCTATTCATGTATCACTTGACTGATGAGTTCAGGACCCACTTGAGGGTCTGTAATACGGCATAGTATAGTATAGACCACACTAGTATAGTTAAGATCGTAATTTCAGTGTGCTTCCTAGCATGGCTTCCTGCCTTGATTTTCCCTATCCACCCCTTCCCCCCAAAAGAAAACCTTCCAAAGTGTAATGCTATGAGAAAAGTAAGACCTTCCTGGAAACGTTAAAAAAATTAGAAGGCAGATTTTTTTAAGCACACACAGATCAATATTTCTTCCTACATAGTGGGTGAAAGTTGGGAGCCTGACTTCTAAAAAAATTCCACAACTGAGTTTTCTCCTCTGCCCTCTCCCTCTAGAAGCCAGGAAAGCGCTCTGCATCACCTTCGCTCTGGGGGCCGTCCTCGCTGGCGGGGTCCTGGCCGCAGTGCTGCTCTGGAGGTTCTGTAAGTACAGAGGGAGTCAGACCTCGGTGCTCGGGGGGCGCGTGCTGAGGCCGGGTCTCACAGACATGTCCTCGTGGGGTTCAGTCTTCGATCAGAAGAAGGCTACTCTCCGAGCTGAGGAAGCCCGGTCCACACCCCTGCCAGAGAGGCCTCTCTTACAAAGCAAGCCCCTCTTCTCTTTACCTAGCTGTGGCATTGCCAAAGTGCCCAGACGGGAAGCAGCCAGTGCCTGGCCCAGGTGCTTCTATGTTTCCTCTGAGGCTGGGAGTGGAGTGTTTACTCGTTGGGCTGCTAACCTTAAGATCAGCAGTTCAAAACCATGAGCCGCTCCTCGGGAGAAAGATGAGGTTTTCTCCTCGCATAAAGAGTTTCAGTCTTGGAAACCCCGCGAGGCTGTTCTACCCTGTCCGACAGGGTTCCCAGAAGCCAGAGTTGATTCAATGGCAGAGAGGGTGTTTTTTGTTGTTGTTTTTTGGGGTTTTTTTTTCCCACTTTTGACCCCAGTCCTTGAGTTGTTAGACTCCCCAGATGGTGAAGAATTTGGTTGCTAACTGAAGAGGTAGAAGCTTAAGTCCACCCGAGAGGCCTCGAATGAAAATCCTGGCAGCCCGCTTCCCAAAGGTTGGAGGCCCGAGGATTGTGTGGAGCGCACATGGGTCTACCCTACACACACGCCATTGCCACAAGTCAGAATCCACTGGGTGGCACCTGGCTGGGTTTGGCTTTGATGGGCAGCTAGGTGCCACCTGAGCAGAGGTGTCCTCTACCTTGGGGCCACACTTGGCAACGTGTTCCTCAGTGTACGTGAGCCACCTGGGCTCTCACCTGCTTGAGACATTCCCTACAGTCTAGGTCTTTCCGTCAACCTGGGACAGTTCAGACTCAGGTTCTTCCCAGATCACTGGGGTTACCTGGGAAGGAGGGGCAACAAACATAAGGAGGGAGGGAGTGTGCCCTTCGCAGTGACCCCAGCCCAAACTCTTCTCATGCATATTGGTGTCAAGGGCACAGCCCTTCCTACCTTCACTGTTGCCAGGTGCTTGGGAAATGCATAAAGGTGCCAGCATGGCATGGTGGGTTATGTGCTGGGCTGTTAACCACCAGGTCAGGAGTTTAAAAGCTCTGGCCGCTCCTCAGGAGGAAGATGAGGCTTTCTACTCCTGTAAAGAGTTACCGTCTCAGAAACCCATCGGGGTAGTTGTACTCTGCCTACAGGGCTGCTGTGAGTTGGCGTCAACCCAATGGCAGCGAGTGGAAGTGTGGGCATCCTCTGTGGGCACTGTGGGGCAATCTGTTCCCCTCAGGGAACTGGGTCCTGGAGGATGGGCAGCATCGTCATGGTGGGTGCTGCGGTCTGTCTGCTTCACAGTGTGACGGGGTCTCCTTCCTCTCTCCTGACAGTGGACAGCCAGTGCTCCGTCTCAGGGATCGAGTGTGGCTCCTCAGGGACCTGTGTCAGCCCCTCGCTCTGGTGTGACGGCATCTCCCACTGCCCCAGTGGGGAGGATGAGAACCGCTGTGGTGAGTGCCCGGGACCCCTCCACCAAGGGCACTGCAGCCACAGCTGCCGCTGCCCCGGGGCCAGCACAACCCAGAGACTGAGCCTCGGGTCTAGTCCCCAAATTACAAACAGGAAAAGAGGTGGGAGGGAGAGAGTGGGGCCTTGTCTCCGGGAGGTGAAAACAGATGGTGCCCCATTGAGTTGGAAGGGGAGGACGCTGTGCTCTTTTCAAAGCAAACCACCTTGCCGTTCCTTATTGGATTGTCACCCAGAGATGGCGCCTCTGTGTGCACACGGATGTGTAGCTTTTCAAGGTGATCGATGTCAAGGGCACCGGAGTAGCAGTCCCACCTGATGGGCACGTGGGCTCTGCACACGGGGGTGGGCAGGAGTTAGAACAGACTCCCAATCAAGGGGAGGGGGGGAGGTCCAGGAACAGCCCCCGGAAGGAGCCTCCTTCCTTCCCTGCGAGCTGATGTCTGCTGATGTAGCCTGCTGCTGGCCACGCCAATGATCACACGCAGGCCGCTCACGTCGCCCTGGCGTTTGCCCTCCGTTCTGGGTGTGGGTGGAGGTGAGGACTGAAGGGGACCGTCACCTTCTTCTCTGGAGGTAGCTGTCTCTGACAGTGGGGTTGGCCAGCTTCTTCTGAACCACTGTCCCTTTATCTCTTTCTCTTCTCCGCTAGCCCTTGATACCTATCTTAGTTTACTGGGGCTGTCATGACAACCAGCTCAAGCTGGCTAGCTTAAAACTCAGATATTTCCTGCTGCACAGTTGTGGAGGACCCAAGTCCAAAATCAGATGTCAGCAGGATGGGTTCCTTTTGCAGGCTCAGAGGGAGAACCCGGCCCATGTCTCTCTGCTCTCTCTGGAGATGGCTGCCCATGCATGGTCTCCCTTGGCTTGTAGCTAGCTGCCTTATTCCTGGCTCTGTCCCTGCCCTGGCGCGGCCCTCTCTCCTGGGTGAGTCTCTGTGTCTAGGATCTTCCTCCAGAAGGATATCACTCTTCTACCAGGAGCTGTGGTGTGGCAGTAAGCAGTGAGGCTGCTAACCAAAAGGCTGCTGGTTCAAATCCAGCAGCTGCTCTGTGGGAGAAAGATGAGGCTTTCTACTCCCCTAAATGTAGAGTTATGGTCTCAGAAACCCACAGGGACAGTTCTGTGCTATACAGTCGGTATCCACTCGATGGCTGTGAGTTTGGGGATTTTGTTTGTTTGGCTCATCTACCTGGGGACTTCTAGAGGTTCATGGAAAAATTGAGTTACGAGATAGTGAAAAAAATTTTTTTTGGATAGATTTGTTGGTAGTACACAATCCACGTCGACAATTCAACAGCTCAATCCTACCAAGAAGAGTTGTACTGCCACCATCAATATTCGAACATTTTGAGCTATTTTGGAGATTCCTTGTCGGATTAGTGTTATGTTGATTTAATGAGTAGTGTTTGCAAAACAAAAGCAGGGAAACACTGCCCTCCTGTCAATTCCACCTGCTCTAGAACTGCCCTCTAGGGCTTGCAAGGCTGCAAAGAGGTCTTGCCCCGGCCGGCCGCCGCCCTTCCTCCTTCCACTGGTGGAGGACCCCTCAATAATTAGCAGCCAAGCACCGAACCGCTGTGCCACCAGGGCCTGAGCTTAAAGGACCCCGCGTTCCCACGCAAGTGACTTGCAGCCTCTCTGAGTCTCTCCCGGCCCCAGCCGCGAGGTGGCTGTTGAGCCCTGTGAGCAGGCCTGCATCCCATGTTGGGGCTGCCCTGGGCTTCTTTCCATGGGAATTCAGAGGGGTCCCCAGACAGAGACCACCTTTCTCCATCTTCATCCAGCTTGCTCCTAACCCCTCGGGGTTTTACGTCAAAACCACGCACAGGCCCTGGTGAGTGCTGGGAAATGACCCTGCTCTTTCTTCTAAGCCTTCCTTTCCTGAGTGCTTCCTCAGGGAAGCTGGCTTTCCTGTCGTGGTTCTCATGTCCAGAAGGAGCCGTGGTGGAGCAGTGGTTACACATTGGGCTGCGAACCCCAAGGTCAGCAGTTTGAAGCCACCTACCGCTCCATGGGAGAAAGCCAGGCTTTTCACTCATGAAGAGTTCGTCTCAGAAACCCACAGGAGCAGTTCTCCCCTGTCCTGCAAGGGTCGCCATCAGTCGGCATCGACTTGAGGGTGCGGTGAGGTTGGTTTGGGGTTGCTCACTCCTCAAATCGTGGCGTCTGTGTAAGGGTGTGGCTGCTCCTGGCTGGGAGGATTTCTCACCGGGGCCACGGAGCCCTTGGTGCCTGCCCAGTGCCAGCCTCGCTTTGACGGCCCCAGCCTGCCCTGCAGCTCGGCCTGGGTGCTTCGCGGGGAGCATGGTGTTTGGAAAGAGCACACTGTTTAAACGTCGCTCCTTTCTTTGCTCAGGGATGACATAGTTATCACCTTGTTCGTAAATCCACTGGTTGGGGGGGAGTTGAACAGAACACAATGATGATTGTGTGTGTGTGTGTGTGTGTGTGTGTGTGTGTGTACAAGCACTTAAGCTCCAGCAAAAGGATTTTAACAGATTCCTTATGCTCCCTGCGGACGTCCTCATTTCCCCGTATTTCATGAAGTCCTCCAGCAAGGAGCACATGGAAATGGATCACAGTTCAGGGAGTTCAAAGGGAGATGGAGTGCGAAGGCACCCCCCTGTCCGCTTAGCGCCCACTCACGCACACACAAGCTAACCCTGCCCTTTCCAGAGGCTGCCGGTCTGAGTTTCTCCACTCTTCCTGTGAGTTTCTGTGTGTATGCGCTCACAGTGCCCTTCCCAGGGGGACCTGAGCTCCTCCCGTCTCTGCAGGGAGGGTGCCTTTGTGGGGAGGACCCACCCTTTTAGTAAGAACTCTCATTTTCACTTTTTTTGGGTAAAGGACCCACAGAAGGGACAGAACTGCGGTGTCCTGACAGGGTGGGCAGCGGCGAGGGCTGTTGGGTATTTATTCTAGACTAGGGCCGGCCCCTCAGCTGTTCCAGGCAGGGCCCCCTGGCTTGTAGGGTGGTGTTTGATGTGTTGGTGTGTGGTGCGGTGTGGTGTGGTGTGCTGTGGTGTTGTATAATGCTCTGTGGTGTTGTATGATGTGGTATGGTATTATGTTATTGAGTTAGTTAATTGTGCCAACCTGGGCGATAAACACATGTGGGGCTAATTGAAAGGCGGAGGGATAAATGCGTGGTGAGCCTCGCCTTTCTAGTTCTCCGGTCTCTTGCTTTGTGATGGTCGCACCAGGGTGCAGCTGCCTTAGCAGTTCCCTGCTTCAGCTTGCAAGATTGATGTCCTACAAGA